TCAAATCATACAATGGATATGATGATCTTATCTATTTATTTGTCTGGATGGGCAGGAGATTGAGACAAATTATGTATTTGAAGACAACCATTATATCTTCTGGGATTTAGGAGATGTTTAAAAATGTCTCGGTAGGGGGGCACCTGGTGGCTCAGTAGGTTAAGCATCTGACTTGATTTCCGCTCAAGTTCTGATATCAGGGTTGTGAGACTAAGCATGACACATGCTCCACACAGGGCATGGAGTCTGCTTAAGATTCTCTCTCTCTCCCTGTCTCTCTGCTCATTCCCCTCCCAAAGGAAAGTCTTGGCACACGGTAAGTCTTATTAATATTTTTAAGTAAATAAATGATTATACTCTTTGTTTTACCTCCAGTAAAATTTTAAAGAAATTCTTTGGAGATACAAGAATAAAGCAGAAATCTCAGAAATCTCTGATACCTGTGTTGTGATCTCCAAGCCTTTGCTTTAACTTTGGCAGAAAAGTGGTGCCTGGCAAGTATTTCTTTTATTCAGGAATATTTCCCTAGCCCCCTGCAGGTGGGCAGGGTTATGTGAATATTTTGACCAATGAAATGGGAGCAGAAATGGTGTCTGTTGCTTCTAAGCTGAGATAGTAAAAAGTTCATGCATGAGTTTGCAAGGTCTCTGAGGTCTCTGTTCTAAGGCTGAGCAGGTTGTCAGTTCAAAAGAGCACAACTATGAGATGACAGAATGTCCATTAGCCAAGGTCTCTGAATGTAATCTGCTGAGATCTTGAGGTTGTCTGTAGTTGTAGCACAGCCTAGCTGGTCCAGATCATTACAGTACTTAACCATATTGTTTTATGGTTACTTTGTTACATATCTACTATACCACTTTAACTAGTTAATCCTTACTCATTTTTTGTTGCTTTGTTGTAAAATGACACATAGTGGGAGAAACCATAATGATATAAGAGTATTTTTTGAGAAGTTAAAGATTAGACTATAAATTTAAGATAGTTAAGTGTGGTGACAAGACTGGTATAATTTAATTTAATTCAATGCATGTACTGAGCAATAAAATTCTGTGGTATGCTCTGCACTGTCAATACAAATATGAGTTGGTAATAATAACAATTATATCATTAATGATTATAAATAAGATGATAATAATAGTTATAATTGTCAAATAAATATAATATCATAAGATAATAGAAAATATATATTAGTCTCTGTCCCCAGTTCTTGACACAGAGCTCCCCAAACTCTTGTAATTCTCTAAGTAATAAGAACCATAGAAACATCTTTTGCTCTAATATAATACTTGTCTTTGACTCCATCTCTGATATAGGTCTCCTAAAACTCTTATAAATTCCTAAGTGATAGGAGCACATGGATTATCTTTTATTCTACTGAAGTAACTCTTGGTGAGTTCCTGGATTATTCCTAGAGGGGGGCTGTTCACTAGAAAGACCAAGCAAGGATTAGAAGCTTGAAACTTTCAGCCTTGCCCCTCATTCCCCAGAGAGGGGAAAGGGGCTAGAAATGGGAGTTGATGATTGACCATGCCTATCTGAGGAAGCCTCCACAAAATTCCAGTAGTATGGGTTCAGAGAGCTTCCAGGTTGCCAAACCCAACCACACCGGAAGAGTAAAGGAAGCCCCCGACTCCATAGGGACAGAAGCTCCTGTGGTCAGGATCCTCCCAGACCTTGCCCTATGTACTTCTTCATCTAAATGTTCATTTATAACCTTTATCATATCCTTTAATAAACTGGATGGGGCACCTGGGTGGCTCAGTGGGTTAAAGCCTCTGCCTTCAGCTCAGGTCATGATCCCAGGGTCCTGGGATCGAGCCCCGCATCGGGCTCTCTGCTCAGCGGGGAGCCTGCTTCCCCCTCTCTCTGCCTACTTGTGATTTCTGTCTGTCAAATAAATAAATAAAATTTTAAAAAATAAATAAATAAACTGGTAAATGTAAGTATATCACTGAGTTCTGTGAGCCCTCTTAGAAAATTAATTGAACCCAAGGAGGAGGTTGTTGGGACCTTAGATCTATAGCTGGCTGGTTCAGAAACATAGGTGATAACCCAAGGTTGCTACCGGCATCTGGAGGGTTTAGGTGTAGGGGTTTGGGGAATAGGTAACCTTATGGAGCTGAGCCCTTAACCTAGGGGATCTGACGCTATCTTCAAGTAGATAGTGTCAGAATTGCATTAAATTGTAGGATACCCAGCTGCTGTCCCAGAGAATTACAAGGTATGAGGAGAAACCTCCACAAATTTGGTGACCAAATGTTTTGTGTGAACAGCAAAGGAGACATCACAAAGAATAAATGCGTAATGAGGAAGGACAAGGTTTTTCCCTACACAGGAGAGGGAAAAAAAATGAGTTTTTCTTTTATAAATATACTAACTGAATACTTGATAATAATTTATTTCTGGTTGAACAAAATCAAGAGATGACATGATAAATGTCTAGAGGTCTGGTTTTCAGAATAGATGTCAAAGCGAATGATCTCAATCTCCTAAATTTGCCAAATCCTAAAATGTGAAAATAACTTATACTTGAAGTAATATTGCCAAAGAGTTTTATAGAGAATTACATTTTTCCAAATATCTTACATCCATTATTTCAACTGATCCCCATAACAGCCTCTTGAATTAGATAGATCGGAGATAACACTAATAATTTGCTTATTCTTTGTAGGTGGAAACTGAGACTACAGAATATTGACATGGCTTATCAATAGTCACACGTGACAACTGGTAAGGCAAACACTAAGCAGCTCTGGTAAAAGGGTTTATGAGAAATTTTCTGTGACATGTATATAAATGAGCTCAAGTTAAGTTTATTTTCCACCTTAATAGCCAGGCTTTTTATATCAACCCTCTTTCCCCCATCTATTATAATAAGTACACAAAGTATAAGCCAATACATTAAAACATATATCCAATTGTAATCAGTTTCTAAGAATTTTCCATTTTCTCCACATAATGAGGATTTGATTGTATCAGCAATGTAATTTTTTTAACATTGGTCGAACATGATATTCCATATAAAATAGAAAGCCCACTTCCTTCTTTAATAAAGGAAGGAAGGAAGGAAGGAAAGTAGAGAGTGCGGAGGGAGAAAAGGAGGGAGGAAGGGAGGGAGGGAGAAAGGGAGGAAAGAAGAGATTGTGGAGGGAGAGAGAGAGGAAGGGAAGGAGGGAAGGTAGGTGGGAGGAAGAGAAGGAAGGAAAAAGGGAAGAAAAGAAGGGAGGAAGGAAGGAAAATAGATTTTTTGTGTATGAATAAGAGACAAGGCATTTGACAGAAAATCCATTCAACTGGACATCTTGCTTCATGTTTTGCAAATATTTTCCACCTCCATTTTTATTTTTATTAATATTGAAATGACTTCGGTTTAGCATCATTGACTAACTTAGCACCAAGTAAGATGTAATTAACCCCTCAAAATCATCATCCAAAGTATTTAGATAGACCTAATCCCAATCTCAAGATGATTAGAGCATTGCTTTAGTCCATCTGTAGGTCATCTGACAAAAGTAAATTGAACTTAGTCCATAATTCTCCCACTCCTTACCTAATGGTAGCAAGTAATATAACAGCAGATATGATTGTTTTAAGATCATCATCGTCAGAGACTTTTTTTTTTTCCTATTAAAAGAATGGGTGCTGTTTTTATACTATTTCTAGTGGGCTAGCATCTTCTTACTTTCTTTTGGCTTTAGAAAAGGAATCATTAGCTATGCCAGTGAATTCATTAGCTAATTCATTAGCTAATTCTTTTCAGGTCTCAAGGTCTATATAGAATTGAGAAACTAGAAACTTCTATACCTATCCATTTTTCCAAGCACTTCAGTCCCTTGCCTTTATAATCAATATGCCATAGTGATAAAATTTTAATTATTCCTAAATGTGCACACCTGGGTTGATTTTCCTTATTTTGCTGTAAAAAAAACAGAATCAGCCCACTAAGTTTAATAGTTTCTTTTGCTCCATTCTCTTTGAACTCAAGTTTTCTCCTCTAAGACAGAGGGATCTTACTTATTGATTCATTTTTAAAGAAAAAAAAATTAAAAATCAAAGAGTGAAATAAAATATTATGTTCTGTTAATAATTAAGCAAAGATTTAAAAGATTGTATAATCAACTTGCAAAAAAGTGTTATTTTAAGCAAACTCACCAATGTACATTGAAAAAGGCATTTCAAAATTATAATTATGCTTGAAAAGTCCAGCAACCAACTAGGGTTATCTAAATGTGTCTGACTCTCAGTGCTCCTTCATGCAAATAATAAAACCTCCGCTTTTGTGACCTCCTAAGTAATGTCGATCCATTCAGCCTGCTAAGAAGTCAAGGGTTAAACTATCTTCCTGCCCCACAGTTCCACGAAGGTTATAATCTATGTGAAAAGATCCCAGGGATTCTGCCCAAATTAACTTACTTTTGGGTATTTACACTCTCATTTTTCTCATACTTTTGTTTTCCTGGTGTAATTGAGATGTAATAAATGTAGGACATGTTGCAAAAGAAAAGCAGGTGAATAAATACTCCCAAATCCAGCTCAAAGAGACTTCCTTTCATCCCAGCTTACTGGTAAGGAAATAGATTAGATCCACATTTTTGAACTCTCTCAGTCTAAATTGATAAAATTTAGAAGGGATGTGGCATACCCAGCTACAGACTATTAATTTAAGAAGACCCAAATAGGCATCAACTTTTAAATTAAAATGCCCACATGCACCCTTTCTCCAAAAGGTAACGGCACTATGGATGGAAGAAAGTAGGTGAGATGGCTCCAGTTGTACGGTTCTATAGCTTTAACCCCCAAAACATCACACACAATTAAGCAAATATTTAGGGCACACAAAAGAGTGGAGTTATAATAGCCAGTAGCACATCACTTACTGAGAAGCTTAACTTTAGTTTTCTGAATTTCAAAAATGGTTTCTTACTGCATTTTGGATGATATTATTTTCCCAAATACAAAGGCTGAAAAGAATAAGAAATAAGAAACAGAAAAGAACTTACAACTGATCGGATGTTATTTTCTTTCATCAGCTTCAGAGATGATTTATAGCAATTTGCAAGGTCTTCCTTGTGGGAACCATTAATATGACCTCTGGCTATTGGTCCTACGGTATGGATGACATCTGCACATGCAAAAGGAAGGAGAAATAGCATAAGCAAGGTATTTTTCACTTTTCACATAAATGGTGCTTTATTTATTGTAGATATTTGTGCTGGAGCCTGGCGATGAGCAAGCTAAGAATTATTGATGATGCAAATACTTCTCTGGTAGAAGATTTTATATAGCACAGCCTCTTAAAGTAGGCAGTTGCCCAGGAAGGTGATAATTGTGAAAGGGCATCCCCTACCAGTAAATTATTTCATTGTTATTGGTCAGATCCTAGTGAGACAGATTATAATACAAGATGTGAATAATTGGCACCCTGGCAAAAGACAAACCCTTGGTGAGAAATAAACTGAGAAATAATTGCCTGCAAAATGACCGTTCTGAATTGACATGGGAAAGAAGAACCAATGTTTCACATCACTTTACGTATAAATAAGACAATAGTTCCGGGCATTGTACACAATAAAAAGGGGCAAATTTCTGAGAATGAGCCAAGATAATTTGTAACAATCAGTAATAACCCTAAAAGGAATAACTTTAAAACATCTCTACCAATTTTAAAGTGCAACCTACCAATCCTCACATATATGAGGTATGCTAGGCATAATAGTCCCTAATAGTTACCTAGCTTCTATTGTTTTCTATATTAAAACTTTCAAAAAGCAATCTATACTTTCAACCTCTATATTTAAAACACAGAATTAGATTTTTTTGGGGGGGGGCACATAAAACCAGTCATTGTGTTTTTTTAATACCTTTACACACATAAATTTTTTCACTTAGGAACATAATGAAATAGAACTGTTTCAGTTTTAAAGTCTGTAAGGATCACAAGAGAGAACTCAAATCATAAACCAAATTACTTGAATGCCTTGTAACATCTGTTTTCCAGTCTTAGCTGTTAATCTGGATTATTTGCCCATCTCATCGATGTAAGTAACAACAACTAATCATGTTTGATCAGAAGGACAACTTTGGTCTAATATTACTGGATTACTATAATGAATTGAAATCATTTGCTTTGTCCAATCAGTACCACTTCATTTCAACAACAATGACAAGATAAGAACACATCACAAAAGTGAGACTATGGAACAGTCTTAAATTGCATAGGAAATTTAAATGGCAGAAAATAAGTCCCTAAGGGTAAAATCTTTGTTGTCTGCCTACTAAATACTCAGACTACTAAATACTCAGAATACTGAGGGTATTATCTGATGTTTGAGAAATCCTCAAAATGTTGATTAAAACCCTTGTCAGATAATATTAAAGATGATATCTTGTGATCAAAATAGGCAGAAACATCACCAGCGAGTTCATGCAGATGTTCTTGCACAGGCCAATGTTGCTTTAAAGTGAGAACCCCAATAACATAGGAGAGGACAAAGGGAGATTAGGTTATGTCTAGCAAAAACAAAAACAAAAACAAAACAAAACAAAAACCCAGCACACAGTGATATCATTTTTTTAATAATAGAGTAACACATAAGAGCTGTATCTATTGAAGCAATGCAAGTTCTCTTCCAGATGTAGTGAATTTTTATTTGAATATTTCACGTTAGCTTCCATTTTGAACCAAACGCTAGAATACGTGAAGAAGGAAGGTTGTGCATGGCTTTACTTCATTTTCCCCTTCATGACTACCTGTTCGTGCCCAGCTATAAGATTCTAAATCCCCCAATGAATCCAAAGGGAGAGAAGCTGTAGAGTAACAACACAGGATTCTAGAGAACAACATTTCCCTGATAAGCTGTGGGTTTAAAGGTCAATTACATTTGGGAATCACTGGGTGAAATTAAATCAAAACAGCTACCTTAGTGTAGGACTTTCAGGACATTCAGTATGCAACAATGGATTATGAATCTCAACCAGAGGGGATACAGAATGGAATACATTTGACTGTTAAAAACTATGTTTTACAGAGTACTTCAAGGGACTAAATTCCCACAAATTTACCTTTGGGAAATGTTATGCCAGGACAACTCCAGTACCCTCACTGCCATTGTTAAAGGACAAATCCATGGGTTTTATTTTGTTTTCTTCCCTTGTTTCCAAATGCCTCTGTACCTCAAATACTTAATACATAAAGAAGCAACAAGGTATTGTTGCTTGGATTCCTTATAATATGGATGGAGAAGGTCAAGAATAAGTGCCTCTTATCTGGGGTCATACAGATGTGTCTACTTGAGCCAAGTAAAAACAGGGCTTAGGGGCATTAATGGGAAGAGGAAAGAGAGAGAGAGTCCATAAAAGGAGAAAATGGTGACATTTAAAAAATCCTTTTTCTTTGCTTTTCCCTGTAGACATCATTGTCCACATAACTTCAATGGGATTTATGAAAAGCTATTGCTTACATTTCTTCAGTTCTCCATTTAATTTAAAAGTCTGAAGACAAACAGCCAATCAATGAGCCTTCTCCTCAACATCAAAATATCGATCCCTGTATTTTATGCTCTATATTAAACTTACAACATCCAAGATCAAGTGTTATTATTGACCAACACAATGACCTCTCAGATCCACAAAGCTGAAGGTGAATCAATGTGAGGCCCAAAAGTAAATTTCCTTCATTATTTTAATTGTTCATAGCACTTAGGAGTGATTCTTCCACACTGATAAGTTCCTCTTTTCCCATTATAAAACTCATTCAGGGGTCTGCCTTCCAATTCCAGCTCCAGCCCTGACTTGCCAAGTGCTCCAGATGAAGCCACCCTTTCGCTGGCCCCTGTCTTGGTTTCCTTATCTGCAAAACAAATCAACTGCTTAGATGATCTCTGTGGTTTATTCTGTGATGTGTGGCCTCATTAACATTTACCTTGGTATCAGGGACAGATGGAGAACAAAATGATGCCTGGGCAGTTACAAGAGACCTTAAACAAGTGGCTTGCAAGTTTTGTGAGTATTAAGGATCCTTTTTCTAATATCAAAAATATCACAGACTACCTTTTCACAATACTAGCTTCAAAATCCATTGATGGAGAACAAGTTTGAGACAAACAGCTGTTACAACATCAATGAGTCTTTGCACTAATTTACATTTTGTTGAACACAATAGCATCTTGATATAGATACATATGTGTGAGATAAATGCATTCAATCCATAGATAATGCTTTCACTTGCACATGAATTTGTGGATTCCTTGGTATAAATAAGATAATGTAAACAGAAGTGTTTAATTTGATTTCTGGTGCATATAGAAGCTCAATTACCACCACCACCAACAGCAGCAATATCCAAGATACCTTATACACACAGGCAGAAACGACAGTCATCATCTGTTCTGATATGGAAAGTATACCACACTTTAAGTCCTAAGGCCTGATTAAAAGTCAGAAGCCCCACATCTGTCACTAATTAGCTGTGTGACCTTGGACAAGTCACTCTCCTCTTTGGGTTTCCCTCTCCAAGTTAAAAGAAGGAGTTGAATAAGATGGCCTTTAAGATTCTTTGAATTCAATTCCTCTCCTGTTTGCCTATTAAGAATAGACCTATAGATTCTGAGTAGTCTAATTCATTCTTGTGCAGATAAATGAGCAGCACTTGTGGTTCAAGTTTCTCAAACATGCTTATACAAATAAAGTGCAAATTGGTCCCATCCCCAGAGACAGTGTTTTATGTACCTATCAAAATTATAAACGTAGACTCCTCTTGATCCAATAGTTCTATTTCTAGGAATGTATCCTAGATAATATGCTTACTCATATGCAAAATGGCATTTATACAGGTCATTCACTATAATACTGTATATGACAGGCAAAGATTGGAAGCAACCTCAGTGTCCATCAATAGGGACTAGTAAAATAATTATGCTTTTATACAATGAAATATTGTGTTTCTGTAAAAAGAGCAATGAAGATATTTACATGTGGTTTTGGAAATATATTGAAGATATATTGCTAAGTAAAAAAATGTGGAGAGGTATAATTAATATGCTACCATTAGTGTAAAAATATCCCACAGGTGAAGGAAAGAATATACTTTCTTTTTTTTTAGCTAATACTTGCATAAAACAACTCTGGAAGGAGTAACAAGCACTTAATTACAGTGATTCCCTACTAGGGTCATGATGGAAAATGCAAAAATAAAGGCAAATATGGGAAGGAGACTTTTCAATGTTTGTCTGTTATACTTTTTTACATTCAAATTATATGAATATATTACCTACTCAACAATTAATTAAAGCATTAAAACAAAGGGTACATGGTTAATTAAACCATGTTCCTGGATCCCATCTACCATATCTCTACGACATTCAAAGATTGTTACTGTGCTTTATAAAGATGATCTTACATCATTGTAAATATGAAAAATTCTTGAAAAAGATACAGTTCCAAGGGATTTAACAGAATGACTCCACTAGGTATATCTTTCCTTATTTTATTACTCTCAATAATCTCTTTACGTAAAGTAATTATTTTCAGATAAAAGTATGGTACCAATGGTGGACAAAAGGGAATTTTTCTCCTATATGTTTAATATCTACCTTTAATATTTCACTACAATCTTAATATGCAAATTGAATCTTAGATACTTTATAGTGGAAATGTAGTACAGGCATATACATCTTAGGTATCTCAGCAATCAAAGAATTTTGAATAGTAGCTAAGAATTTTTGGAAATGAAAAGGACAATATAGAAAATTTCATCTGTTTTCCCTTGTTCAGGAACCAGAGGGGGAGAATAAAATGTCCAAAGTTGTACATCAACTTGGGGAGATACAATATCACAATGGCAATGTGATTATAGATAAAGTTTTCCTAAGGTGCCTATTTAATTGAAGGAAATGACATACATCTGTATATACAAAATTTGGCATGTTTATCCTGAATCCCATTGCTTTTACCTCATAGTTTGTACACACTCAGATTCTGGTTAGGTATTGCTATGGATAAAAACAAAAAAACAACACTTCCTGAAACAAAACAAAAATAAACAAAAACTACCCCAAAATATGGTGGCTTAAGAGTGGTTAACAACCATTTCATTATTTCTTATGGTTCCTCTGGGTGAGAAAT